ATCTTGATCTGCATAGATAAATTTGTATTCAATTGAATATTTATTTGATAATGTCGAATAAAATTTTATTCGTTAGTCTTTATCTTTTACCCGTCATCCGAATAAAATTTTGCCCAACCCTGGTTTCGTTCGTCGCGTTTAATATTATTTTATGAAATTATTGTTAAATGTTGGTCATTCTACATAAACAATTAAAAGGAATATTAAAACCTTTACATACACTTAATATTACAGTGATTAGCACGTTTAAATATTTTTGAATACTTCTGAGCACCTATTCGAATACTTTGAAAATACAGAGTAATGTTTTTGGACCATTGCATTCAATTCTATGTATACAGCGTTTATTTTTTGAAATTATTATGCACTTTAATGTAATGGGTAACAGGTTCACTGAGTATTTTCATTTTATTTTGTTTTTTCTTTATGTATAAAAAATACAATTATTAAAATGTGATATTCTTTGCAGTCGGACAAAATGTGACGAATCAAAATTTGGATATCACGATTAATTTAAAAATAAATCAGCTGTCTAGTTTTGCAGCTCATCCAAATTTGTACTGTCCGTGAATGTGTTAATTAGTTTATTGGATGATGTCTAACAGAAACGAAGTATACTTGAATGTCCAAGAATTTTTACAAAAATTTTGCAGAGCAGGATGACAAAAATTGTTAAATTTTAATAAAATAAAATATCATATAAACGCATAATCTAGTGACGGTACTTACCGACAGTCTAAATGTTTCATATTCTTCAATCCAGTCATTTCTCTTACTTGAAAATCGTTATTAAATAAGAAAGCAACTACCGGGAACCGCGTTTTCAGTTGCACTCGCTTATCCGGCGATGAATAAACATAAACAAAATAAAAATAAAATATCAAGGAAAAGGCACAAATTTACATAACGTACTAACAAATCACATTCAACTGTATCGTTAAATGATCGTCTTATCGATTAAGTTAAATACTTGTTAAAATTATTAAAACTTATCTAATTTATGACGTCCGCGTTTATCTATTTTAATAAAAGCAAAGGAGTTTAATTGATTTTAACGATATATGCAGCGACCATGCCATGTTCCGACAAACTAGCGAACTTCTAAAATTCGTGATAATGGTGAACTATATCATAGTGTTGTGCGCGTTCAATTTAGACAACAACTTTTGACTTTAGCGCACTGCGACGTATTGCGATGTTTACATTTCGCGAAGGTTTTAAAATTTCTCTAAGAAAATCAAAAGTTTCGTATTCGATTGAAATTCAAAGAATTTAATTGAAATTGAGATAATTTAATATTAAAGGAATATTAATGTAGAAATTCATTTACACGATTTTATTGTATAATAAAGCTATGTTAACTGTTTTTGCATTTTTGAATGCGTCGATATATTGATTTAACATTTCTACTCTGCGGATGAAAAATTATATATAATTATTATAACGACACCGTTTTGCAATGTATTTTTATCGAAGGAATACTTGAGGTGCACATTTAAAATACGAGATTAACATATTTCATTTGATTCCTGTATTAAGAAAATGTAGGTAGAAATAAATAGTAGATAGTTACAAGATAGATTAGTTAGAAGTTAAAACAATATAGAGTAAATAAAATAAATAAAATAAAATAATAATATAACTTAACTGTAGAATAATTTCGATTTTATAATATAACATGAGATGTAATAGTATGAATAAATATAAGAAAGATATGTAGTTACATGTTAAAACAATATAAAGAATGAAAAGAAGAGAAAAGAATAATATAGCTTAACTGTAGCTTAGTTTCGTTTTTACAACATAACATGAAGTGTAATAGTAAGGGCTAACTGTTTGTAAAAATTTCAATAACTTTAACGTGAAAGTATGGATTGAAATAAAAATTATTTATTATAAATCGCAGTATCTCTAAGAATCATTAAGGCATCACTTTCTACTTAAAATACCGCGTATCATCTGAAACACGCACAAGGTACCGATCGCTAAATGCTGCTTAAACAATCAAGTGAGACAAATGATGCTTTGAATTCCGCCGCGAGAGTTCCTTTTGAAATTGCATTCCTAGACAGAACTCATTATTCTGGAACTAGGAAGCTTTTCGTGGAATCATTGACCTCGTCCACGACGAGATTCGTTTGATGTTAGGCCGTAAGGACAAGTAATGACGTGTTCCTTATCGTCGGCTTAATTCACGAGACCACCAGACGGCAATCAGTGCGATGAGTGATAACAAACAACGAATGGAGACGTGACTGTTAACGATACTTGTAGCTCTTAGAAATTATACTCAACTGTTTTACGAGCGAACGAATTATAAATTCCGTAGGAACTGCTCCGAATAAATCGATCGAAATCAAGTAGAAAATTAAACACAAATTCACATCGTATTTTTGCTGTAGAAATACAGAAACAATTCAATATAGTTAATACATATGTTTTTTTACAATTGATCTAATTGAATTGCGTAAAATATTAATTCAAGATTATCTGAATAATTCTCAAGAGTATAAACAAAGTTTTCCATGGTACTCTATAATGAAATAATGCAGAAGTGTTCCAGTGTATACATATACGCAGACTAATGATCTATAACGATTCCATTTTCGCTGTTAAAGTTTATGGTTGTCTTGGACAATAAACTATAAATCCAAACAGAAGATATTTATACAATTATTTTGTAAAGTAAGCAATCATTTATATTGGTTTGAATGAAGTGAATACTATTATTGTGTGGTCATATCTTTAATTTAAAGAGAGTATTACATATTATACAATCAAAACATTCGATAAATATATAATCGAAGTATATTATTATAGTATATTATTAACAAAAACAGTAGGTCTTTGATGATGGCAAATCGGTAGTATCGCCCGTACTTATTTGTAAAGACTAGTGACTTCGGTAATCGTACAAACTGCGGTATAGTGATCACAGTATCATGAAAATACATATAACAAGACGAGTCAATGTTAAATAGAGGTAGAGAGTTTTATATCTAATATAATAGTAATTGTATCGCAGACCTGGCCATACTTGAATTGACACTGTTTGAGATATTATTTCAAATAATATGCTACTTTGTGTTATAATTTCTTGAAATAATTATCTGAGATAATTGTAAAATACTTCTTGGAAATTATATGATGTTCTAAGTATTAGCTGTGACTGTGAGTCTAGTTTATTTCGACATCCTCACTGACATTTGGAGGATGGATCTGACAATGTTAAATAATTATTCGATAATAAGACGCATGTTTCTGAAAAATAACATCCCTCTTGTAAACTTTCTGGGAAAAGATTTCGCTTAAATAGAATCGTTTCCAATGCAAATCGATGTAAAGGTTTCTTAAAGTAAAATCTTTTCATTGCACATTATTTTGAGAATATTTTTTGTCATGTACTTGTCACATACTTTTGTCATATTTGAAGTAAAACAACATAGTTCGTTATTTGAAATTGCTATAATTTCAAATGGACTGGTATTGTTTGTATTTTAAAATAACGTTTGGAAATGAATTATTCGATATACATTTCTTGTTTTCATGTGAAATAAAATTTTCCCAGGTCTGCTGTATCACAATGGAAATATAATACAATAAAATTAGGGGTTTGAGAAAGGACTAATGTCCCCATGGCATTTCGTATTATTCCATAGAATATATTTGCAGTTCTTAGACATTGGTTTACTCTTTAATTAGCGAGACTTCATCTCTTGCTTCACGCAACTGGTGAATGCTTGCCAACCCTCACGTCGTTGTTGCGACTGGAAAATATAATAGAATTCTTAGTAATAGATATAATATTTCATATTACGATTAACATATTTATATACTGTTTTTAGAATTTACAATTTCAATCAATTTAGCTTTTTAAATAATCGAATTAAACGCAAGCTTACAGAAATAAAACTCAGTGTGTCCGGATGTTGGAGAATACAATTAACTATTTAAGAAACGACAGTGTTGTTTGAAATAATCAGAACGTTAACAAATCTATTTCTAGATACGGAAGAATATGATAAACATTAATAATAGTTTGTATCAATTAAAAATTGGAAATCTCGTTATTGGTATTTCAAAGCCACGAGCAATGAGAATTGATTTTTGGAATAATTCACCTGGCAAGTATGAGCATTGACAAATTCTGTTCACACTTGCAAATAATTCGAATTCTACATAGTTCGTATGAGTCGAGTGAAATTATATTATTATTTATTCTAAATTATTTAAATTTTACATAGTATTAAATCTTGCGTCAGTGCAATTTAATAATTCGCGCAATACCTTGAAACCTCTATGAAGTCGATCTTTCATAATCGCGATGAATTCTTTGTAGGACAATTGTCCGTCGCCATCTTCGTCGAACAACGCGAAGACTGTATCTATAATATGATTTGAGAGTACACTTCCTGTACAGATTTTCACAGCTCGTTGGAATTCATCTGGAAAACAAATCAATTTCAACTCTTTATTTAATGCAGTACATACCGGGAATTATTTAATAGAGTTATAATTGAACTGCAGATCTTTATGGAAAATAACAATTTTTTGAATTATGTAATTGAATTACAAGTTAGTTGAGTTACTATGTAATCGAAATACACTGTAATTGAATTCGCAAAATTGTATTACAATGTAATAGAATTACCACAACTCTGATTTACAGTTTAAAATGATCGAAAGTTCATGTGGCTACATTTAGTGTAAAACTAATTTTTTATACCTTTGGATATAGGATGGTCCGCCAATGTATACATTCGCATAGCTATGGAGAAGTCGTCGATGTTGTTTAAGAACTGATAGAAACGACGAAATTCGTCAAACGTGATGCCAATTTGAAGTTCTGTATTCTGAAGGATCCGGTCCAGATACTTGTCATACCTACAAACCATGAAATTTATGAAGTAGTGTGTTTGTGTTCGAAGAATATGTGTATGTCTATGACAAAGTATGTGTACGTAAGGTTGAATATTATTATTATATTAAATATTAAATTAAATATTATGTTAAATATTATTATTATTATTATTATTATTATTATTATTCATGGAGACTTGGGACGAGCGAGACTGTGGACGATGCACAATGTTCAATTTTTAATTTGTTTAAAGTTTGACACAGATATTTATTTCGATTAATATAGTGCACGTAAGAATAGAACATAGAAAAGGGTGGCTTTTAATTGTTCAAAAGACAGCAAGTGCCGTTAGCCACGATTAGTTAATAATATTCTTCTGTGTGGGGCCATTAAACCTGGTACGATACCTGTCTTCTTTGCTTTTAGACCAGAATCGAGGTAGAGTGGAGTACCTGTTGATTTTAAAATCACTATTCTAAATCAGTGTTTATTTTGTAGTTGAAATCTCAGGATCATACTTTTTTAAGCTCTTCAAATAGAAACCCTAAGTGTAATTTATAATCTTATTAAATGAAGTTTTCAACGAAAAGAATTATTTCTATAAGACAAATTTTGTTGATTCGAATGAAAGGGAGTCAACTCAATTTGACAATCATTTCTGAGAGAAAAATTCATAAGAACAGATCTAGATTTTGGAAAAATGAGTAAAAAGATTTGTATTTTTGAAACTAGGTAAATGGTAAACCGGGAGTCATTATAAGCTGAAAGGCAAGGATTGCGATAAATTAATAAACAATAAACAACTAGCAAAATGATGACTTATATATTCCTTAATCTTGAGGAATCTTAATCTGAATCCCTAGATCGTATTTTATGTCGAACGGAATCCTCGATTTCGACGATAAAAATGGCTCGTCTTCGTGTGGACCGACTTTATAATGTACATTGAATAACGAACGATTTGTATCTCCCTGAAACCCCAGAGTTGGGCCTTATTCTTGAATTATTCCGAATAAATATTTATCTAAGATAATTATCCAAATGAATTCTTTTTGGTCGAATATTTTATTTATTATTCGACAGAAATTATTCTATCTACTTATTCGAATAATTCTTTATTCGAATAAATTNTACCACAACTCTGATTTACAGTTTAAAATGATCGAAAGTTCATGTGGCTACATTTAGTGTAAAACTAATTTTTTATACCTTTGGATATAGGATGGTCCGCCAATGTATACATTCGCATAGCTATGGAGAAGTCGTCGATGTTGTTTAAGAACTGATAGAAACGACGAAATTCGTCAAACGTGATGCCAATTTGAAGTTCTGTATTCTGAAGGATCCGGTCCAGATACTTGTCATACCTACAAACCATGAAATTTATGAAGTAGTGTGTTTGTGTTCGAAGAATATGTGTATGTCTATGACAAAGTATGTGTACGTAAGGTTGAATATTATTATTATATTAAATATTAAATTAAATATTATGTTAAATATTATTATTATTATTATTATTATTATTATTATTCATGGAGACTTGGGACGAGCGAGACTGTGGACGATGCACAATGTTCAATTTTTAATTTGTTTAAAGTTTGACACAGATATTTATTTCGATTAATATAGTGCACGTAAGAATAGAACATAGAAAAGGGTGGCTTTTAATTGTTCAAAAGACAGCAAGTGCCGTTAGCCACGATTAGTTAATAATATTCTTCTGTGTGGGGCCATTAAACCTGGTACGATACCTGTCTTCTTTGCTTTTAGACCAGAATCGAGGTAGAGTGGAGTACCTGTTGATTTTAAAATCACTATTCTAAATCAGTGTTTATTTTGTAGTTGAAATCTCAGGATCATACTTTTTTAAGCTCTTCAAATAGAAACCCTAAGTGTAATTTATAATCTTATTAAATGAAGTTTTCAACGAAAAGAATTATTTCTATAAGACAAATTTTGTTGATTCGAATGAAAGGGAGTCAACTCAATTTGACAATCATTTCTGAGAGAAAAATTCATAAGAACAGATCTAGATTTTGGAAAAATGAGTAAAAAGATTTGTATTTTTGAAACTAGGTAAATGGTAAACCGGGAGTCATTATAAGCTGAAAGGCAAGGATTGCGATAAATTAATAAACAATAAACAACTAGCAAAATGATGACTTATATATTCCTTAATCTTGAGGAATCTTAATCTGAATCCCTAGATCGTATTTTATGTCGAACGGAATCCTCGATTTCGACGATAAAAATGGCTCGTCTTCGTGTGGACCGACTTTATAATGTACATTGAATAACGAACGATTTGTATCTCCCTGAAACCCCAGAGTTGGGCCTTATTCTTGAATTATTCCGAATAAATATTTATCTAAGATAATTATCCAAATGAATTCTTTTTGGTCGAATATTTTATTTATTATTCGACAGAAATTATTCTATCTACTTATTCGAATAATTCTTTATTCGAATAAATTATTCGAATAGAGATTGTAAAATTATTCGAATAATAATGCGAATAATTATTAAATGTTTCTGTTTTCATGTAACTTTATAAGTAGCCTGTGAATCTTTATGCAGAATAAAAATTTTCCAACACGGATGTAAGAAACATAAATTCAATAAAAATAAATTGTTTCTTTTAATAATTTTGCATAAATACATAAAATCCGCAGTTTATTTATAGGAATAAATTTATACGAATATATTCAGGATCAGTGCAATTTCAAATAGTTACAGAATTACAAAATTGCCGATGCCTTGCTCTATACCCGCAGAAAAAATATGTAGTTATGCATCAATCTATCTAAAAGCAACAAACTTTTGGGTGCACTATTTGAAAAAAAGTTAATTATACAAAGGAATATGGCAAAAATAAACCGATAACCTATGAAGAAACACACTTCATATTTCTATTCAAAACGATTACTTTCCGTATGAATCTCTATATGAATAAATTCTTATTCGAATGAATTCTTATTTGGACAAATTTTTATTCAACGAGATATTTGTTAGATAGATAGAAATTTTGCCCAACTCTGTCTAGAACCTGAAATTTTTTAACCAGATCTTGCACTTAATAGAGAACTTACTCGTCAGTGTCAAGATAAGTGTATCGCAGCAATATTTTCGCGAAATCCATTTCAGTGATGACTTCTCTGCCTTTACTGAACTCATGGAACTCGAGCTCCAATACTTCCTGCTGTAAATTTTCCATGAAGTGCTTGAAGTCATCGTACTTCAGCTCGTTGTTACCTTCTTTCCCGAAGAAGTGTATCATTAATGTTGTGTCCACAGCGTGTCGGCGTTGCAGGCCCTGAAAATTACTTCAATTATGTCGTCGAACTATGGGACACTACACCAGCAATAGAATTATTGTTGAATGGTATTTTATTCTTCAGATTCCACGCATGAGCACCGAATACTCCACTCCACAGACTAATTGAGACTTTTTAACGAGAGAAGGAACGTTAATAGTAAAAATTAAGACTTTATATAAATTTAAATGAAATTATATAAAAATATAAAATCTACGTATAAATAAATTTTGTAGGAAAATTAAATTTGTATATAAATGTTATAAAAATTACTTTTATTTACAATCTTGTTTATTGAGACAAAATTTTACATAATTATTTAAAGATATAAAGTAGATTTGTAATGAAAATTAGTTTCATGTACATATAGATTTATAATAAAAATCAAGTTTTTACATAAATTTACATGGAATTATGTAAATGTAAAAAAATTTATAAATAAAATAGGGAAATTAAAATGATATGTTTTGTATGAAATTATATAAAAACATAACATTTTTATATATGATTAATAGCCTGGAGATCTTCATGCAAATTATCATTTTATCCTGTCAATTTATACGTTTTTTTTGCATTTGAAAAATCAGCAAATGCCATAAATGCATAAAGATCCCCAATGCAGTAATTAATATCACAGTATTTCTCGTATTATTAAATAAATCGTTTTCGTTTTATCGAGTTGTCGTAATCACTTAGCGCGACCGATCTCTCAACGTAGTAATAATCAATCAATTAGGTAATTATAAAACGTACCTGCTCGTCGTCAATGTATTGGTCTTGAATTTCTTCCGGAGATGTTTGCCTCTCGGTCAAATGGTCCAGGTTTTCTTGGGTCTCGGTGCCGTGGCGTCCCCTCCAAGCGTGGCTAAATACTTTCTCCATCTGCACGGAACCATGGGAAAGAAAATCGGATTAGATTTCTCTTTGTTTTTTTTCGATCGACGGCATAGCCTTTATAATAAAACATACAGATGGATTTGCATAATAGAGAGGCAAAATGGCAGCAATGATTTCAGCATCCAGTGCTAATGGGTCTGAAATAAATGGCAGGAGAGTTAGCATAGCAGCGATTAATACGAGCACACACGTATCATACTTTGTGCACTAATAAGTAATCCACAATTTATTCTTAATCGTAAATTAAATTTCAACATACGGCGAAACAGCACAGATATTTCAGTTGCATGGACGATTATATTAATTAGTAGTGGGTTATTTATTACCACACTCAAAAATCGATATATGTAAATTTACACTGCGCGTACATTGTAAACAAATTATTTTTACAAAATAATGGTACATATCATGGCTCACTCAAGTTTCTGCCTCGAATTAGTTTTTTACGTCGTTTAGTTGTATTTATTTATTAATTTAGTGAGAAATGAATTCTTACTTACCCAATGTCGTAATTAAAATTGTGTGTCGTGTACTTAGCGACGGGATTGTTCGTAATCATTAATTTTGCTTTTATTAATGGTTTAGGCTTAGACATTAAAGAATCGTAAATGTATCGAATATTAATTTGATAACGTTTTAAATGCATTCTATTTTTTAATTTCGATTTTGATTACGTTTATTCTTCGAAACAAGGTTTAGTACGAATAGTTAGGTAACAACGTTAAGACAGATACGTGTTATGATTTTAATTATTACGATTTTTATGTACAGAATACAGAGTTTATATGTTCGTGGATCTTGACAAGTCGTACCGGTTACAATACAGTTGTAATAACGATTCGATGATAAACAAAATTGATTTCGTATTTCAGTGATTGCGAAACTACGTGAATATTATGATCGCTAAACTTGTCCACCTGAATCGTCATATCGCGGTAATAAACGTCGAAAATCGTAGTAATTGAAATCGTAAGACAATCTAAAAGGCGGCTGAAAACATAGAGATAAAAAACTCAGAAAGAAAAAAAAAAGAAAAAGAAAATGAAGAAAAATCAAACCAATATGCGTCCACACGCTTCCGCGTGCAGAGAACTTACGTATGAATTAGAGACAATTTTTCTGTTCTGGTTTCCCTGACAGTTGTTACGAAGTTTCAGTACTTTGGGAACGTTACGCTCTTCCGGTCCGTATATGGATCTCAACTAACATGTTTAAATAAATAACAGAGAGTATGAATGATGTTGATGTCAGAAGATTGATAGAACAGAATAAACAAAAATCCGTTCAACACACAAACATAAGCGTTTTTCGTGATCGAGAACAAAGCAAAAGTGTGAATGAACTGAAACGATTACAAGTAGACCGCGGATCTTTGTGCAAGATAAAAAATTGCAAACGATGCAAATACTATTGCAAAAGACTGGAGTCGTTTGGCAGTATCACTTCTTCTTTAACAATTTTTAATACATTGCTGAAAAATGCGACAGTTTGTAATAGAAGATCATATTTGTCGTAAATGCATAAAATCCGCGGTCTAATTATAAGCGATAAACTGATCGAAAAGACAAGAACTGAACGAAAAAGAAAACAAGAACTAAACGAAAATACAAAAAGAGCACGAATCAGTTTGTTGCATTGGAACGAATTTTACGTAAAACGAATAATCGTCAATAAAATATTGCAATAAGATAAAAAAAAACAAGCTTCTTCGATAGTAATTTGAAATGTTTCTAACATGTTACTAACTAACAGACTGGTTATTTGAAACCGATTTTTATTACGGAATTGTTAATAGTTGCGTTTCTGTAAGAATGATTCAGAAAGAAGTAGATTATGAGAAAAGTGTAAGACGTGAAGAGATTACATCGGTAGGCGAATTTTAAGTGGGTATTGTTAGGCCGTCGTAAAATTCTCAAAGCAATTAGGATGAATCGATGTAAATCGACGTTAGCTTCAAGTTTCAATTGTTTCGTTTCGTTTCACGATTATGCGATAACTCACTGCACGTTTAGTCTCGCCGTCAAGGTGTCGCTCCTTTAGTGTGCCGCCGAGCAGTCGTCGGATCTGTGAAAATTACAAACGCCCCCGTGCAAATCGGGTAAACAATATAGCCGCACTTGCGCCGCACTTCGATCTTCGTCGGACATCTTCGTTTCTTCCCCTAATTCGGAATTTATTCTCGCTAATATTTTATCACTAAAAATTTGATTCTTTTCATTTATTCACTTATTTATTAGTTTTGCGAATTAATCCTTTCGGAAGCGTCTAAACAATGAAGAACGTGTGGCTATAACTGTATCTTCTTATTTTATACGTGAATGCTTGATCTCGAGTCAAACGATTCGATTTATGCACGTAATTTTCATTTATGTAAGTTTCAGCAGCTTCAATGGATCACACTTTGATGAGTTATTTCGAGCGTTTAAACATAACAGTTTGTATCGAAATTCTGAATTTTGTTAATTATTGCCTTGTTGTTTGATTAATCTGCTGATTAATAGACATTTTTTTAAGGATTATGTGCTTTAGATTTCATCTGCGTTTAATAGATTTATAATGTCTATTAAATGTTATTTCGTAGTATTGGCACATGTTTCCAAGTGTTGGAATTTAGGGTTTCGTTACTTCGCGTTATCATCTTTAGTTGTTTGCCATGATTCGTTAAGGGGACATGCAATCATAGAAACTCGAAAGATCGTGCCATGCACACCGATGCACAGTGATCTGGGAATTCTCTTTCTGTGATCAAAATTATCGTTTCGACAGCAGTTAGAATATTATCAAGTTATTAAATATGTATTAATATTATTAATTAATACAAAAAATTCTGCATTTCTTTTGAAAAAGAATTTTTAGAAAGTTCCTATATAATTTGAAATTGAATTTGAGCGTGCTTACCCAAGCATCGAAATACTGTTGGCATTTATTTGTTAAAATTATTCTACACGCGAATATATTTATTCATACGAAATAAGTCCGAAATGTATCACTTTGAATTATTTTGGTATAAGCATTGTTGAAGTTTTAAGTGTTGCAAACCTAAGTGTTGTATAAGTTTTGGATATCATAATGATATAACTAAAATATGAGTGTTCACATACATGAAAATATACAGTAGAACCACGATTATCCGATCCTCCAATATCAATCGAAGATAACCCATATACAAAATGATTAAAATTAAATGTTAATAAAAATCTAATCTAGAACTTTAATTTAGTAACTGTTCTATTATACGAACATTAATGGCATTCTGCTTAGCCCGCATAATCGAGGTTCTAATGTATAGCCTAAATAATTAAAATAATTAGTTTTACTTTTAATTTAATACATTTGTCTTTACTGCTATATTTCTTCATGAAGTTGCCCGATAAACTTAATACTTTCGATTTCAAGGTTTTAAACGGTTGTTAGTTTAGAGGGAAAACAAATACCTTAAAATATCAAAGTCGAAAAATTGACTTTTCAAAGTGAAATTGATTTTGACTTCTGGCCAAAAATTACCGACTTCCGGACCACTGCGCAATGGCTGTTGCACTATTTTCAGTTTATAAGATTGCAAGTCCCCTTAAGCAAAGTAAATTTAAAAAATCCAGCCGCCAAATTTTAGAAGGTAGACTAACTAATCACTCATTACCACAGAATCAACTACGTCTAGCTACTTTTAGTGCGAGAATAATTAAATTAATTCAGATATAAAGCGTGCGCGCAATAAACTTTGCGATTAATCTTACGATTTGTGTTCTCTAAAACAAAGCTAAAGCATCACTCTTGTTACATATTATCAGAATTTTCGCTTCTGAAACATTGGCATCTCAAACAAGATTAGAGCTTGGATCAACATTCAAATCGCGATTTACAAATTTTGTTACATCTAGAAATAATACTTTCACACTCTTTTCTATTCTAATGAAGTGCTATATCCAATTGTACAATTAATTAAAGACCTGTAACTTCATAGAAGAGAAGTATGATAGATGTAATGGAATGAAAAATGACAGTCTTACCACAAGGAATTCTGTTTTATCCACCCTTTCGTTTCCGTCGGTGTCGAACATGTTAAACGCGATTCGGAAACCTGTATTTGGTTCTGAAATCAAATTCTTAGTTACCCTGATGCGTACGATGGAAAAATAATGGAATTATAAATAAGTACTTACTGGTTAGAATCGACAAGAGAAACAAATACTCCGTGTAAGAAATAATTCCTGCAAACAATGGAAAGAAAGCTTCTGTAGTAGATTCTATACAATTTGTAAACATTATTTACAAAAATCGGTAGCAAAGTTGCCATTGAAAGATGCACAAACTGTCTGCTTCTGATTGAAATCCGTAAAAAAATTGTGATTTCGATGAAATCTTCTGTATGCATATAAGTTGAATTATGAATTTAATAAAAGTTATGCAAAAGTTGGGAGAAAATTTCGTACAGAATATGGAAGAAAGAACTGTCCATCAAACATGCAAATCAAAAGAATCGTTAAAAAATTTGAAGAGAGTGGTTGACTTGCATACAAAATTAGTAAACAATATCGTAGTGTTTTCTTTGCAACGAACAACATTAAAACTTTAACTTGCTTAAATATTATGATAAAAAAAGTCTGCTCGAAGTTACGTGTCTACGTTCTTGAAGAAATACCTGATCGAATGCAATAAATAAGAACTCAGTTAAAAGTAACAGTACTTCGCACAACGTTACGAGAAAAAAAGGAAAAATATTACTTTTAAGCATACAAGAAAATTAATTGTCTGCCATAATTACGTATTAACTGGCAGCGGCTTCAAGTTACGTGTGATTACATATGCATAATACAGTTACGAAACAACTATAATTTTATTACAAAATGATTCATAATTTCTTAAATAATGATAATGTCCCATTCGCATTAGTTCTTCCCTATGTTCTAAGATCCCCGCCCGCAAAGGGTTAAATTCATTCAGCAGGAAATGACGTATCACATCGTGGGTGGTTCCCCGATCTTGTTTACGGCGGCGCGATAAAGTCCCGCACTAATTTTCCCCATAATCGCGTTAACGGCGACCGTAAACAGGGAAACCGAGGGACACGGCGATGGCGGAGCAGCAGCGGCGATCGGCATTAGCAACGCCTCATCGAGTTCGAGGCATTTTCGGCATCCCCTTTCTCCACGCGATCCAAGAAACCGGCCAATAACTTAGCCTTAACCCGCGGGCCTCTCCTAGATAGCCCTCGCGATACCTAAATCGTCCTTCTGCTACGCCTCGAACAACCCTCGCGTGCTTCGGCTTTGTTGCCGAACGTGAAATCGATTTTATTACGCTGTAAGCACTCCATTAAACGGATTCACGCGTGATCGGGGAAAGTTTACGGAACGAAAAAGCGAAGGAAATGGGCGGCAGAAAACGACGCCGTGAAAAACACCGTCGTTGACGACGCGTTTCTCTCGTCAGCGAGACCGTTTCGGATCGAATCGTCTCGAGGGATGAAGTTATTCTGAGCGCGGCGTCGTCGGCGAACATCAGAGAAACGCGGGATGTCACTCCTTGAATTTTTACCGTGAGATAATTACTTAACGCTTGATCCGTGTGACCAGAGATACGGTAATCGGGGAACTTCTTCATCCAGTTGTTCAACAGTTGCAGCAATAGCATATTCGTAAAGCAACGAACAGTTTTGTATCGTTTAATATAAAAATTTTTCCTGTGGTCATTAGACTGTGGTTTTCATGCATTTATGGCAAAAAAGGGTAGCTGAAATATACAATTGTGAAGATGTAAGAAGAATTTAATAATACCGTAACAGTATTTTCAACATATAAAAATTATTGAAATAAACAGTTGACATTTATTTAAGTTCTGTTTCCTAGAATCGTCTTGGAAAATTTTTATTTTGCATAAAGATTCGCCGTCTAGTGATTAATTATTTAATTAGTTAGTTGTTTTCTTTATTAAATTATATACTTTGTGAAAGTGTTGCATTTATACAAAATATAAAGAAAATCAAAGATGTATGGAATAATTACAGTTCTGCAAATTGTATGCATTTATGGCATCAATTAGTAGATCAAATATGGAACAACGAAAACATGTAAAGTCTTTGAAGCAATCATTATTTCCAATTTACTAAATTTATTAAGAGAGCAAAGATATTTATATCTAACTGCTGTTCTTTACCATAAAAATTCGCAATATAATTAATTACAGTAACTTATACGCTTTTCAAAAAGATTGTAACAGCTAAACTATCATCAAAGCCTGAAATACCAAGCCCTAAACGCGACTAAAGTGTATCGTTTGATAACTATAACAAGCTTTCATAATAGCAGTAGTTGTAAAAGAAAATTTTGACTGGTTTCGTATTTCTAGTGCTCAAGCGTTTATTAATATTATTAACATTTGACGAAAATGCAAATCAAACGTCTGCATCGAAACTACACATCAGCAGTCACATCAGAATCGATAGTTGTCGTTATCACGTTTTATTTAGAAGTTAATTAATAGGGCTATTCAATTAATCAACTGATTAATCAAATACAATTATAAGACTAATTTTTACAATCATCTATTTTTCCTATTTTATTTCGTCATCCGTTCTGAATTTTATTTGAGATAAATAATTACTTTAATTAATGGACTTGATGAAATATATATTTTCAAAATATAAAACCCAATAATTCAGTGGATTAGAATGACAGCGACGTAAGTCGCATTTTCCTCACTGTGAGAAACAATGAGTATTATTGTTTACTAATATGTGTATTGTTTACCGACCAAATTTATTGTTAAGATAATTTAGAGTCAAGTAATATTTTCGAAAACAGGGATTCCTAATCCATTCGATTATGCCAAATAATCTGTTCCGAAATGAACTCGATTCGAACTTCTCCATTTACAGTTTACCGTTAATTCAATCAACTTTTTCGATTCGAATGATAGAACAACAATGTTATGAATTACATTTTCCGTCAGCAATTCCCTTAACTCGCGATGAACAATCGTCCGAAGAGATAACTCGCCGCTTTCACCAAAACTGTAACGTTAGACCGCGATAACTCCGCGAACTGTTAACTCACCTTGTCGTCGCGACTATCCATAAAATTTATAACCACCTCCACAGACTACCACCAATTTATTTCAAGACTCCAAACACTGTTCGTCTCACGTTGAAAAGTGATCGTAACTCAAGGTTAACCGCGCGATCATAAACTCCGAATCCCGTAGTTCATTTCGCGAGGTAGAACAGCATGCATTTAACACTTCTGTTCGAAAGAGGATCGTAGGTGGATCGTTTCGCGGCGAAATTTCGCCGAGAAAAATTTCACGACTTTTCCTAATACAGTGAACTACGTCCGCGCAATAAGGAAGTGTACCGGCTGGTTGCAATTCGAGTAATAGCATCGTGCAAGAAGCGAAATCGACGTAGGTAACGAGATGCGCAGCCTCCAGTGGTTCGTTCCGTGGCCCATGGTCGTAACGAATGTACTGAACATTCGTTAGAACATCGAAAGGCGGATCTTTGTGACAAAAATATAGCTGAGTGGGCTTAGGGTGGCCCCTAATTTTCGACTTTCGATTATTTCTTGACGCACTTCATCAGATCGCTTTGTGACAAAAAGTACTGTGCAAAATTTCGGCAGAGAATCTCAGAGAATCTGAGATTAGACAACAGGAACACGTGCCGCATTTGAATTGAAGCTTTGAAGTATGATTTCGCATTTCTCTTATTTAACGCATTAAATGCCGAATATTAACTCGAAAAATTCACACAATATCAAACTCATTTATTTAATGACACCGAAACTAGAAAGTGAATATTTACCATAAGAAATATTGGTTCAGCTATTTTGTATTCTACAAATCCTAGTAACATTCAATTGGTTCAATATATTACAATAGAAATGAATTTCAAAAACCTAGTTAAAAATTAGTGTCACCCATACGTCACCCAAAAGTCGAATCAACTCTGCTAGTAGACCAATATTAATTATTTATGATATATTTATAGCATATTTTTATAACCACATTCTATATCATAATAACTTATTTGATAATTATTTCCGATATATTTGTATCATATTTTTGTAATCACAGTTTATATAATAATAACTTATTTGATAACAGCTGTTTACATATATGATAATGTAATACGTAAAAGTAAACATCGTTTTTAAACAACAATATTATATACTGTCGAAAACTCAGGTCAGTTTAACACATTAAGTGCCGAATATTAATTCGAAAAATTCACACAATATCAAAGTCATTTATTTAATAACACCGAAACTAGAAAGTGAAAATTTACCATAAGAAATATTGGTTCAGCTATTTTGTATTCTACAAATCCTAGTGACATTCAATTTGTTCAATATATTACAATAGAAATGAATTTCAAAAACCTAGTTAAAAATTAGTGTCACCCATACGTCACCCAAAAGTCGAATCAACTCTGCTAGTAGACCAATATTAATTATTTATGATATATTTATAGCATATTTTTATAACCACATTCTATATCATAATAACTTATTTGATAATTATTTCCGATATATTTGTATCATATTTTTGTAATCACAGTTTATATAATAATAACTTATT